TAGCTGATTATATAAAATTTAGTGTCATCAAATAATTTATTTTTATTTTTAGATACGTGTTTGCCTACTCCAAACTGAAAGCTGAGAAGAACTGGCATTCTTAGTTTTTTTAGGGTGATAGCTGAGGGAGCACCACATCACACCCACTAGCTATGTTACTTTGGATAAATTATTTAACTTTCTTTAATTTCAACTTTTTGCATCAGAAAATAGTAAAGACAAAACCATTCTAACAGGGTTCTTGAAAGACTAATGCATTTTAAAGCACTTACCATAATACCTGACACTTAATAAGCACACAGTTACTTTTGTTATAACAGGTTGTCCATTCCTGGAGTGGGGACAGTAGTACCAACCCTGGACAAAGCCAGGCAATATGACTGCCAAAACATTTTGCTCTTGTATTTGCTACTTGGCAAATACTGCTCTTGCCTCAGTATCGGGTGTTTTGAAAACACATGTGGCACCCAAATAGAAATAAGCTTTAAATTCCTTAAATCTCTGACATAGAAAAAAGGCATTTCCATTGAACTAACATTCTAAAGAATGGGGTTTTAATGTAGGCAATTTTAGGAAATAAAGGAAATTTAAAAGAAGACTGATATCCAAGTCTTCACAATTTATCATAAATGTTATCATCCTTAACAAACAAAATCTGAAAATTTAAGACCTTCCCATATCAATGCCAATTATTATAGAGTTAAAATATTCATTGTAAAAAGCAAACACTGCAGCCTCAAATTTGTATGCAACTATACTACTACACACAAAGGTGTTTGTCCTTACAGAAACTCATTCATTTCTCAATTTAAATTAAAACATTCATAATATTCCAATCAATCAGTGTTATTTATCTCAACACAATATAAAAACATGTTACCAAAAATAGAGATTTACTGCAAAATAGTTATTTTACAGATTATTCTTAGAAATTTAGAAATAATATTGTAACATGTGGATGAGAATATAGATGGTGATACATATCACACACTTTCTAAAAAAGTCTAATTCTTACTATATAAAGAAAAACAATGAATGAGACTTTATCATCTCCACTGAAAAAGGCATTTCCATTAACAAATACCTTCTCGTAATGTTTCTGAATGGTATTTTCAACCTAAATAAATATCTCTTTACTGAACTTGGTCAATTTTGTTTTATTTCTAAGTAAAGTTTACTACTTGATGACCATATTTAGTAACTTCTGATTGTTCTCCTTGTTAAATCCAAAACTACTATTATAGATTTTATTTTCTAACATCTTCATTAGCTGCATTTTTGAATTCTAAATCTTTTCCTAAAAAGGCATAATTGATTCACAAAAATATTATAATTGCATCCTAGCTCCTTTATATATCATGTTGTTGGCTTTGTAGTAACACTTTTACACTAAATTTCTAAATCAATTCAATTCATGAGAGATACATATAATACATTAGGAAAATCTTGAAGAACACTTTTCTAAAACACTAAATCTCTTAGAGTATATAAACTGAATCACACCACAAAGTTTAAATATGCTGACATCAATTGTAAGAAAATTATTTTACTGAGCATTTTACCAACTTTACTGGAATTAATAGTTCTTTTTTAAGTTGCTCGTCAGCTCTTCCCTTTAGTTGTACTCACTGCTGGAGAATTCATTTACTTAACGTGATATACCAGCAAAATTGTGCTCTGGTCAAAATCAATTTTTGAAACAAATTAGTTTCCAATCATTAAGAAATATGTAAATCAAACTGCAAAACTGATGCCACAGTTCATACTCTTGTGGTTCTTCAGGGAATAAAAAGGGAAGTGAAGCAAATGTCTGGTGAGACAAATCAGAGATACCACGTTCAGATGGGGAGCACAAGGCTACGGGGTCCACTAGCAGTAACTGGTTGGCCTGAATGAGATACAGCTTGCTAATTCCTGCACTATGGGAATCCTGAAAAATATTTTTAGTAAATTTAACTACCATCATATAAAACATTTTTTTTTTTAAATACCATTTTTAAAGTTACATTTTGTGTCATCATCTCTCCCACCACTCAAGAAATCTGAGATTTACCTTTGGATTCTACTTTTTTCCATAACTCTAAACAACAATCTGCAGTCATGTCCTTTTGATCCCATCTCTTAATATTGCCTATTGACTTCTGTTCATTCCTATTGCAAGGAACATTATCGCTGCCCTTGATAAGGCCATTGTCATTTTTCTCTCGTATCTTCCTAATATGCATTTGTTTAACCAGTCTTCCTGCCTCCAGTCTTGCCTCCTCCAATCCATCCTTTATGCTGCCGAAGAGTGATATTTGTGAAATGCAGTTTAGCATGCTGCTTAAATTTTGTAATTGTTTCTCCTAATGGTCAGACCCAAACTCCTCCTTGTGGCACTGAGGTTCTTAGGTGATTAGCACACTTCCCCTCCCCATATTCCCACTTAATTTCTCCGTATTTCTTCTTCCCATTTTAGGTAAACTTAGTGGTCCTTGCTCTATAAAGTTCCTCCTAAAAGTGACCCCTTTCAGCACTGTGTCCTTTTAGACACTTTGTACAAGTTACTTATACTTTTAACAGTGATTTGCTTACATGTTTGTCTTCCCCACATCTAGCCCAGTGACTGTTTCAAAAAAGGCACTAAAAAATGGATAAAAGTAAATATATTACTCTTAATGAGTAGTGTAATATTAATATAGACACCCCATATGTCTATATTGTCTCTATATGAATATAGAGCTCTTGCTCTAAGAAAAAGGGTTCATCTCTCCTCAAGCCCTTAGAATCACTTTAGAAACTCTTCAACTTCTAATTCAACATATTCTGACACTAAACACAAATAGCAGTCTTAACTCGCTTGGAAAACCATATGATTTAAATGTACTATAACCCTTTCCCAAATAAGAGCTGCTATTATGGGGGATTAATGTACAGACCATTTCATATGTATACTTGGTTGTTTAGGAACACAGATAATTTCAGTTCCAGAATATATGAATTCCAGAATTAGTAACTTCTGTTAAAGATAAATGGCAGTTCAGAGAATTAGGGAAACTGAAAAAGGAAACTAAAGTTAGAGACAGAAACTAAGTAAAGATAAAGAAAAATGAGCTTTACAAAGCTACTCTAGTGGCATCTGGGAAGAGAAAGATCCAATCTAAGAGGGTAATCAAAGTGAAATCCAAGATGAACAATCTTGTCATTTTAACAAGGCATTTAACATATAAATGGGGGACCAGGAGTAGCTAAGTGTCATTTAATATGTATCGTATCTATAGCAAAATGAAATAATGTGCAAGCTTCTCATTTACTGAGTTTAGTGGGCATAGCAAATCTTTGTTTGTAAGCACATGATAGGAAACAGAAATTTACAGTACATTAGAGAAGGTACATTGGAGTTATGGAGTTTTTATCACATATCCAATACTTAATGAGTAGTAGTTGGAATTAGACTACTGTATATGCTTTCCAGAGACCATTATGTCTTCTAGAAAAGTCAAAAATAATTATTTGAATTTTTAATTTGCTATCATTTTGTCATTTTCACCTATGATCTAGTAAGAATTGTATTCTTGATAACAGAAATGTAATTTCTTAAAAATCAGTTAAATTTCATTTAATTAATTAATTCATAGACATAAAAACAGAAATTTTTAGAGGTTTTATAGTTGAGTATGGCCAGTTAACTCTTTTGAAAGACCTTAATACTCCAATCTTTTTCCTGACTGGGGACCCCTGCCAGATATTTACCAGCATAGGAAAAATAACCCATTGCCTTTATCAGATTTTATTATGCATAGGAATCATCCAGAGATGTTGGTACAGGTAGCGTCTGTCTCACTAGGTCTACAAAAGATCCCTGAATTCTAGTTTCTAACAAGCTCTCGGGGATGCTGCTGTCTATGGACCATACTTTTGAATAGCAAGGCCTGAATCAATGGCTCTCAGCCTTGATGCCTATTGGAATCATCTGGGTGGCTTTAAAAAAAAACATTTCTAGGAATAAAACATTACTTAATTAGTCTGGGCTGCAACCTGGACACTGAGGGTTTTAAGAGCTCTCAAGTTGAGGTGAACAGGTAGCTAAATTTGAGAACCTATGGCCTAACATGTATTGGTTATATTTATTAGGCCTCATTTCAGTACTGCATAGGTTATGAGAGTAAAAATGTCCAAAAATCTCCAAATCCTTACTGAAAATATAATTATCAATCAGGTTCCAACTTTAAGAATCTCAGTGGTTTCATTTCTATATTCTTATTAAATTATTTAGTAACATATTTAAACAGTATTTTAAAGATAAATACTCATGGAATTATAATGAAATGACAATCTCAATTATTTTAAATTAGGAGGTAGATTTATAAAAATATAAATATGTGAGTTTTAAAGTATAGAGAGATGTCAGTTCCCTATACGAAATAAAAAGGTTCAGACTAGTTAAGAAGCTTACAAAAAATCCCGAAGTCTTTCACACCAGGAAGAAGGCCCACAGACACAGGAAAGAGAGGCAAAAGTTTACTTAGTATCACTACTTGAAATAGGCGTTGCTGATCCAGCAGTTAAAAACTGAATCATCACTATTAGATCATTACTAATTATTTTGCTAAATTGAGGTTTGAAAACGTCAAGAAGCAATTCCATTACTGAAGCTCCTTCCTTAACTTTTAGAAATGTGCACCAAAAATACTTAATAAAAATAATATTTTAAACTCGGAGGTATTTGCACAATTCCATAATTACAATAAATTGTACTGGAGTTTAAGTCAATGATAGTAAAGAGTACTGGAGTTTAAGTAAACTGCCACGTACTAGTCATGTGACTTAAACTTTGGAACAGGCTTCTTCACAACTAAAATAGTCCAATAAAAATGTGCAAACCCAAATTAATGCCACATACAAATATAAAACAGAATAAAGTACAACTTTGACAAGCAAAAAATAAATAAATAATATGGCATGTTTTGGTGCAAAGAGCTAAAGTCCTGACTGGGAATGACTTCCAGCTTTGCCACTAATTAGCCACATAACAAGCAAATCACATACTTCAATCTCATTTTAAAAATAAAGATGCCTCAAGATTATTTTCACAATCCCTAGCAGATCAAAGCTCTAAAAATCTAAAAATAACTGATTAAGTTACCCTCTAAATCAAACATGACTAATGCTAACAACAACAAAACAAAACCAAGAATTTCCTTTTAACATGATTGTTTCAACAAGCCTTTGAAGAAAAATATTTAAAACTTGTCTTCAAGTCTACTAATTGTACGGCAATCATTTAAAATAGTAAAACTATTTAAATCTAAAAAATATGTAGTGTGTGGAGGTGGGGAGAAAAGGGATCATTAAATGCAATGCAAGAACACCATGCAGAATTAAAGAAATAATGCAAACTGAGGATAAGTTAGCAAAAGCTTTTTCTAAGGAAAACTGTTTCAAAGCATGCAGTGTGAAATTTTACAATTTACCCCAAACAACATACTATATAGGCATGGTTATTAAATACACACATTTTCTGTTTCCAAGTACTACAGATAACTCATAATTCCTATAAAAATTACCCAATTTAATAAAGATGGTAGTACGTGGAGATTATTTCCTTTTAGTTTATTGTTTAAATACATGTCCTGGCAATCACAAAATATCTAGTGTAGCCAAATACATAAGAAATCCCTGTATGAATAAAAAAGTGCCATTCTTGCAGCTTTCTGTCACAAGGAAGCTGAGAAATGTACTGTAACAGTTTAGGAGACACAAGATTGTCTCAGTTTTAAGTTTCAATCATTAATCCTCTTCAGAACTGGAATCATCCTCTTGGTCAGAGAGTTCGGGAACAGGGAAGCGGAGAATGGCAGCTACCCCAGTCAACTGGCTGAGCTGTTCCCCAGAAACGTGAAGACTAGAGAATATCCTAACGGTGCCTGCATTCTCTTTCACACTGTCCACCAGCCTCACATACCGGCTCCGTGTGGCTACATCCTGATGCCTGAAGAGCTCATCGCTGATGAGCAATGTGTCAATTGCCATGGCTTCATTGGCCTTCTCCACCTGCTTGAGTCCATAGAAAGCTCGATCCGGTTCATGTTGTAACATTTTATAGAAGTCATCCAAGGCTTTGACTTCCCCAGCAGCTTTAGTGTCTGAAAGGCGGCTAGCTACAGTAGGGTCACAAAGGGCCTCTTTCAGGGAATACTTGTGTCCGGAGGAGGCATGTACCTAGAATCACAATTACAAAAGTTAGGCAAAAGAATCTCTCAGAACACCCATTATCAGCCCACAAAGGCTTAAAGCCAAAAGCGCTAATAAGGCTTCATATGTTTCAGCAAAGTTGACTCCACAAATTTGCTAGATATTTAACATTCTCTTTTTTTTTAATTTCATTATCTCATGAAAATTCCAGGTAAGTAAAGCCTTTCTCCTCTTATTTTTCTCAGTTCTAAAACTTTAGGAGTAGTTTATACCAATCCCTCTGCCCATTCTTAACTATCCCTGGGTAAGATTGTTTTACCTGAAGAAATTTGGATCGGTTTTCCAGGAGCAGTTTGTTGTCGGTCTTCACTGCTTGTTGAAACATGTAGTCGCAGAACTGCTCCCTCACAAATCCTGGGCTGGCCACCAGGATGCACTTTACAACATCAAAGTGTATGTGGCGCTGGATAGCCTGGACCACCTGTTCATAGAACCGCTCCAAGGCCCGGTCATGCTGAGAGCAATTGCCTTTCCTTTTCCTAGGGATGTTCACCTCCACCTTGGCCCGAGTGAGGGTCATGCTGGGAGTGACTAAGCAGATATGGGCGAGGCCTTCCTGCATGACCACAGCTGCCACATCAGCGCTCCAGGCTGGGTCACAGGCCTGCTCGATGCGCTCCAGAACCACACTATCCCACTGTTTCTTGGCTAGGGTGAACTGGCGGTTGGGCTCCAGCTCGATAGTGTGGTAAGCCCCCATCTTGACATACTCATTCTCTTGGATGTTGGTCCCCTTAACCCGCAGCTGGCAGGCTTGAGAGTCGAAGTCGATGGCCTCCACGCAGAGAGTGAGGGTAGTGCGGACCCGATTGCTGCCCACGCTGCCCGTGGAGGACTCGGTCTGTACCTTGCGGATGGTGGAGGCGCGCAGGCTGTCGCCCACTTGCACGAGGTTGTAAGTGTGCCACATGTCCTCAGGCTCCTCGGGGACCAGGGTCACCTGGCCTGCATTATCCTTCTCGATGTTCTTCCTCACGAGCTTCATGACCAAGGAAGGGGCTCACTGACAGAACTACAGGAACCAAGGAGGTCCTCACCTCCGCCCCGGAGAGGGGATGGGAACGCAGGCCGGGAAGGGGGCGGGGCCCGGTTTCTATGGGCACTTGCCTGGTGGGAAGGAAATACTCTTGCTTCGACTCTTGCAGCCTAGGGGAGCACTTCCTCTATCCTTTCCTCGCTCAGTCTGCGGGCTCGCTGCGCCTAACAGGCACGGGAAACACAGCAGCGAAAATCGTCCACTCCGGGGTTCCCGCTGGCAGCCCGAGGCAGCGGGCTGACGTAATGAAAGCGCATGCGCAGCCCGCGTCCCGCGACCCGACGCACGTCCACGTCCCCAAAGGGGAGGCGGGGCCGCAGTCCGCGCACGCGCAGGCGCACTAAGCTGTGAGGCGCTCGGGACGAATGAACTCCCTAAAGAAGGTGCAGAGTGGCGGCGAGTCCTTTAGTTTAATGCCAAACTTGAACTTCCTAAGTTTTCTCTTCCATCCCTGTCTGTGAAGAATCCGGGGAGTGTGTGAGTGCAAATATTAGTTTTACCTGGCTGCGGTTGCCACTCTGAAACGCTTCCTTCTGGGTAGACTGAATTTCAAAACAGCAGTAAAAGCAGCTCTCAGAAGTGCAGATTTGGCCCCAAAGGCCCAAACTGTTGTCGTTTTTGCACTTGCCTTATCCGCACTCGGACGCTACAAGCCTGTTGGAGCTGGTATTTAGACGCAGTTTCTGAGAACTACTGATCACGTTCTGTCTGGGCTCCCAGCAACATGTCCAGCTGTTTTCTGCGCCTAGTTACCGTGTCTGCACGATCTCATTAACCCAGATGTTAAAAAGCTGGTCCCAAGAGAGAAGAAACTATGTGAGGAATTTACCCCTGGGTGGACCTCTCAGTTGCTTGACCTGATGTCCTGAGAAACCTAGGCTCCAAAGCTGGCAGCCTCAGCTTTCCGCAGTCCAGTAGCCTGTGAAATGTTTAGGGTGGGGGTTGGGTCGCAATAGCTTAGGGACAGATCTTCACTGCCACAGCTAAGCTAAAAGTCAAGGCTATGGGAAATGGGGGAAAACAATTAACTATGACGGACCCTGACTGAATAGCTACATAATTTAAATACAATCCTTAAGTTACTTAGCATTCTTTATTAGGAAGTGGAAATGGAGAAGTGGGATTGCCTCTTTAAAAGACCGATGAATAGAAAAAACAAACAAAAAAATCCAAAAGTTTCTTGAGAGCTTAGATGGAGTGGAGCGCAGAAGAGTCCTGCACACATAGCTTCTCACTGTCTTTTCTGTTTTACTCTGTGTGGATTGGAAAGGGGAACTAACCAGCCCGAACAGATGAAACAGGGATGAAAGGAAGGAATCTGAGTTTGGCATAGGCTTGTGAAAGGAAAATAAATCTCGGATCCCCAAACTCATTAAGCCAAAGGGAAAAGTTAAGCTGGGAACTGGGTCACACAAAACTGCCTTGCCTCTTGGTTTTTAAATGAGATGGCTACCAGATGAAAAGCTACACACGTAGCTCATATTTTGCCCACAAGGAAATTCTCAGTGAGCGCCAAAATCTTTACCCTAAAGTGTTTATATTAAAATTTACCGTGGGAATGTAAATGAATAGCTTCTGTTTTCAGCCTCTGCCCACCTGACACAAATGCATATCTGATTGTTCTCCTGCCCCATTTATCTATGTTACCTTATGTAAAAATGCAGATTCAGACTCACTATGCCAGATGGGGGCATGAATGATTATTTTCCCCCTGCCAACTTCTCACATGAAAACTGTATTTCTCAGTATCCCACCCTTTCCCCTTTAAATTTGGAGCCCTCAAAATTATCTTCCCAGAAAGGCATAGCCGGCGCGCGTCCTTAATTTTGGCAAATAGACGTCCTAAAATGATTGAGACTTGTCTCAACATTTTTCTCAACTGACAGGCTTCACAATTTAAATTTCAGTGTCAATTATCTTCCTAAGAGATTATCAGGGGACGGAAAGGTCCCCTCCAAGGGGAAAGTCCAAGTAAGAACCACTACTTATTAATATTTGTGGCCTCTTTTCTCTTTGTTTCTCGTTCTCTATGTCTCCCCTTACTTCCTCCTTCCTTCCCACCTTCCAATCATACTGAGTACCCTCAAGAAGTTCCTAATTCACATTGCCTTCTTCCAATTCCAAGAGAACCCAGCAACTTTTCACTAAGCAAAGAACTGATCACACTGAAGTGTGAAGGTGATTTGCCTATCCAAAGGACACTGTATTTTTTTTTTTTAAAGTATCTTGTTAACTTAAAATTCCTACCTAATTGGTAGGGTGGAAGTGTGCTTGGGTGTGTATGTGTGAGAGAGAGAGAAGAAATAATTTTGAACTGGGGCTTTGAAGTGCTCCTCGATCATCTTTCTAAGTACAATTCATCTTTCCCATAGTCTGCCAAAGATTAAAAGCCATAGAATCACAGTGGTAAGCACACAGTAGGATCTTAACAAAAGGTTTTTATTGAAGAGCTATCACTTACTGAATGTTTATCAAGTTCTTTCCTATGCTCTAATTCTCCCTTGTAAGGTAAATATTCGTTATCCTAATTTTATAGAAGAAAATCAACCATGGGGAAGTTAAGAAGTGTTTTCAAGATCACATGACTAGCATTGAAATTCAGGCCTGCTTAACTCTATACCCTCTCTTTCCACTACCACCATCCTATATTATGAATGTTTGTAAACATCTTTGTCACTGCAAATTATGTGCTGTTATCCACTGTCACTTCCCCTCAACTGTCACCTTTACCAGTTAAACAAAAACTCACAGCTTGGGAACCAACCTAGAGGATTTGAAAGGCACTAGTCCCTTTCCTGCTTTTATCACCTCTTAAAACTATTATACTTTTGTCTTCTACATAGTTTTTTTTTTTCCTTCTGTCCAGCCTAGGTCATCATTACACTCTTGGAGAAAGATCTAATATTCTACTTTAGAAAAAAAAATTATCTATCTATCTATCTATCTATCTATCTATCTATCTATCTATCTGTCTATCTACATTAGAAACCTGTGAAAAACCCTTATTGACTCTTTAATCCATGGTTAAAAAAGTTTTATTTTAAGTTATGAGACAAACCACTTCAGGCCATTTTAAAAAATATCAATGTGCTTCCATAATTGAGCATACTATAAAATCGTTCATAGAATTACTGTTTTATGTGAAACATCTGCAATAGTTGGGAACATTTTTTCCTTTTTTTTTTTTTTTTTTTGTAATTTAAACCTGTAGTTGACTATTAGACGTTTTCACCCAGATTTTGTGTTATGAATTAGTATTTCTAGACCAATCATTATATTTTTATTTTGATTCATTTTGGATTCTCATTCCCTATGAATTAACGTCTACAATCCCTCTCTACAATACTAAATTGCACTGGCCTTACAAATTTACTTCCCGCTTTTCCCCTCAGGGCATCCTATATTCCACCTTGAAAGTAACCTTTGTTTCCTACATAAGCTAGGAACTTTCTCATTTGCTACCTTAACATATACTAACTTCTCTATTTAAAATGTCACTTCTTTTCATCCCTGCTTCCATTAATGCTGCCTATCTTTAAAGTCCAGCTTAAATGTTGTCTCAAACGTGAAACTGTGTAATCTTGAAACCATTAATTTAAACACATATATTTTTTGTTGAACTCTGGAAGGATTCATCTTTATACTCTTTTGTCTTCTGAAAGGTCCTTTGTGCATAGTATGCACTCATGTATTAATGATAAGCTAGGTGAGTCAAATGTAAAGTATGGCAGCTATTTTAACATTATTGCAGACATTTCCAGACATTTCTTAAGGCACTTACATTCTTATTGACTGTATTTCACTTAATAATGGTAGTTTAGAAACTGCTGTAGTTATATATTTATTTTCATTTTTTTCCCAAATAAGCAAAATATTGAGAAAAATATCAGTGTTTTTAGCTCTGTTGCTTTAAATACTAATTTTATACTTATTTATTGGCTGTTTAAAATAGAAATCTTTATATCAGTAACTTTGTATCAGTATAAATCTTTATATCAGTAACTTTAATTATACCTATTTTTCCTACAATTTATATTAATCTCTTCATAAGGGGAAAAAAAGTAATGTTACTTCTAAAAGTTTTTAATTTGTTGCTCTTGAGACACTTCCAGTGTCTCAAAAAGAGAACTGGGCTAGAAGTCAAGCATCCTGGATTGTAGTTCTTACTCTTCAATTGTTTTTACTGTAACTTTTGGCAGTACTCAGTCTCTTTGGAACCCAATTTATTTTACTGAAGAATTGAGGGAATTGAATTCAATAGTTAAACTTGTAACTAAAAATTATGCTGCAGTAATATTTTTTAAATGTTTAAACAGCACCTATAATCTCATCCTAACATATTTGTTTTCAATTTTGCATGCTATCTTTCAAATCTGATTTTTCTAAGACCCATTTCGGTGGTGGAAGACTGATTCGAAGTTTCATACTTGGGGACCAAGAATTGGCAGACCTCAAATATGGTCTTTCCTGGATGGATTCTACCAACTTGAAATAAGTCTCAGACCGCAATAAAGCTAATTATTTTCATTCTAAATTATAAATAAGATTATTTGTCCTGCTCTCTCATTTGACCATCCTTATGAGGTTCTAGGGATATTATGATACTTGATATTAATAAATTATAGAGCTCTCACAATGCCTGACTTGAAGCTAGAAAACTGGATCAGACAAAACAAGGGACAAGAGCTCATTTTAACATGATCATGATTATTCAGCCTTGGAAAAATAACTGGTTTGGTAGAGTTGACTGATGGATAATCTTTGGGGTACATTAATTTATGTTATCACCCCCCTTTCAGGGAAACCATAGGTCAGCTCTACTGAATGAAATGGTTCATGGACCTCATTGGTGAGTTGAATTACTATCTTTCCTATTATAATAATATGAAATAAATGTTTTATATGATATGAAAGGGAATTATGGGCTCCTGAAAGATGGAAATTTTGTTTTAATACCCTCTGCTTAGCATGTGGCCCTTAAACAGGGCTGTATAAATTGTCTTGTTTTCATCTTGTATTTTATTTTGGAAGGCTTACTTTCCTGCAACACAAACCTAATCCTTTTGTTACTCCATATAAAGCACCTTGGGAATCTCTCTCACCATTGCTTCTTTCCATGTCTACTACCTCTTCCACCAGTAAAGGCAGAGACTTACTACGTTTTATCTGTCTTTGTGCTCCTGGAACACAGCATAGCAAGTGGCACATACTCATATTTTTAGTATGCAAAAATTAATGGTTATTAATTTGTCTTTAATTCAGAGTTTTTAACTTGCCTATAACTGACATTCTAAAATTAGGGAATCACATTCTGTTTTATAATGTTACTAAAAATTTTAAAAGAAGGTTACTCTTAAGGTAAGTTTATATATAAGCCTATTTCAATATTTGAGATAGCCATGCTTAGGTAAGAAAATGGTAATTTAAAATACATCTTCCCCAGGAAAAGTTCTTAAAATGTTTTAAAATAATACATAATGGCAATTAGTTTTATTATACATGGTTTGGAAAGTGAACTTTACAAAATAAGAAGCCAGAGCTCCAATTATGAATATCTAGTGATAAACGCAATTGTTTATTTAGAGAGAATGTGCAAACCTCAGATTGTGCAAAGGTTCCCATGTGACCTCCACCAACAAAGCTAAGTGGATGACTGGGAGGATTAGTTAGCTAATATAGACAAAAAGGTAAAAAGTAAAAGAGAAAGTGTTTTTTGGGTTTTTTTTGTTTGTTTGTTTTAAGGAACTTGTTCTCATTTACTATGTAAATTTCTCATGATGGAAAATGCTTACTTGCAGTTGTCACAAAATAATACAAAACCTCCTACCAAATAAAGAAAATCCTATCAACAAAAGTATGTGTGTGTGTGTGTATGTGTGTGTGTGCGTATTTCTATTTGCATGTATTCTTACACAGCATAAGATCATTTCACCAAAAATATTATAAGTAAAATGTATAACACAGGTATTTTTAAGGACTGGCCAGTAGCCATGTATTTCTAGACTTCAGTATTTGGTAAAATAAAAGTCAAATTAATAAAATAATTTTGAAAGTACATTTAATTTATAATAAGGATATATGATTTATAACAAAATATATAAACCATCTTAACTATTGATGTTTTAAAGTGATTTAGGTGCTATATTTAAATGTAAGAATTTGCATTTATTTTAGGAGATCTCATATGATTCATACAAAAAGAGTATGTGTATATCCACTCCTTTGCATATTTGAATTACAATGATTTTTCAGTTCAGATCTCTTACTTGTTTTGTTAATAGGGATCTCCTGTTTGGATAAAACTGAATTTTTTTAACACGTAAAGTGAATTCTTAACAACAACCAGCATGTGCATTTTAATTTCCTTTTAATATTTAGTTGACTTTTTTATCTTCCTTTTAAATCATAGGAAAGTTTCGATGAAAATTAGTCTCCTTCCTATATACACAGCCCTGGAGCCTACCACCAACATGACAAAAGGTTAAGAGTTTGCCAAAGCTAGAGTCATTAATGCTGTGCAACTGGAACATTATTTGATCACTTTATTGTCACCTTTCTCCTGAAGCTCTCTTCCAAAGATAGAGCATTTGGAGGAAGCTCTGTTTTGGGGATCTGGTGACGCTGTTGGTGCCAGAGGAGCAATTATCCCCTAAATCAGATACAAACTTGGCACTTGAAGAGAACTTAGAGGAACAATGTCATATCTTTGTATCTAGATGGGGTTCACATATTAGCCTCTTCGAAATCTTATGACACAATTTTTAAGTGTCCAAAGAAGTAGAAAATTACCATGTAGCTACACTGTGTATTATTGATCATAATTTTCAGATGCACTTTTTTCCCAATTTCAACATCTCTGAAACTAGGACGTATCTAACAATCTAGCAATTATAATTGGATTGGGAGTGGCTTGTCTTTCTTAGTGGTACATAAAATATGGTGCATCTTTCAATTGGTGGTGTCTTCCATTCCATTATTTATAAATTTGGGTATACAGAAATATTTCAGGTGGAGGTATAGTAAAATCAGATGAAGGTATATAATAAAGGGACAATCTGATCCCTTAAGTATTTTATGAGTTTGTCAATAGTCAATTCTTTTGTGATTCATTCAATTAAAAAGTGTCTATTATTTCTAGGTGCTGTGGTTAAAGATCCTACCCTCACAGAGCATACAGCAAGCTGGAAATCAGACAATTAGATAGTTAATTATAATACCATGGTGCGTTATATAATGGAAGCAAAGGTGCTGGGATACACATGTCCTAAGGTAGGGTTCAATCTACTTCAGGGTCTTTTGGAAATGATGTTTATTCAGGGATTGAGATCAGTAGCAGTGGGAGTAACTACTTATGCAAAGTCCCCAAGGAGACTTTAGAGTAGCTAGAAGAATGAAGGAGCTGAAAGAAGCTCAATAATCTTGAAGATAGAAATATATGCAGTCATTTGCATCTCTTGATACTCTACTGTACTTGCTTTGAGGGCGAGTACAATTCTCCAGTCACAGACTGCTCTGAATAGGCAATCTATTCTGACTTTAGCACTGTGGCAACAGTTTCAAAATATCTTTCATCTCAGTTTCTTAACATGAATTTGAGTACACTATTTTGTATTTCATTCAACAGAAGAGTAGTGTAGGTAAAGAATAGCATTTTAGCCCCCAACTTTTTAAAATATATTTTAAACATGAGCTACTTTATTCTACTAAGATATGTCAAGAGATGGGGAAATTCAGCAAGTTCTAAATCTAGTGGGAAAGTTTATTGGGTTGGAAGTGGAGGAACACATTAGAGGAGCATCCATCTACTAAAGTCAGAACATCAGTGATAAGCTGTAGCCCAAGAGCTCGTGCTTCAAAATAGCTGGATAAGTGTTATGACAGGAGGGAAGAGAAATAGGTAAATTAGTGTAGCATATATATGTGTCTCATGGTTACTCTCGTTGCCTGTTTACTAAACAAACAAAAATCCCATGAATTCATTGCTGCCTTTACAAATATCACAATGAATAAGACAATTTTCACCATCTTCAGCAATTCCTGACAGTACATTGTCTGCCACTGGGAGTCATTCTTTGTTTTGAATAGGTGGCTGACTTCCTCCCCATATTCAGCCATCTCCCGTCTCCTCACTGGATTTCAATTTGAATAGGAACTCTTGCCTGTGAAAAAAGTCACAAAAGAAGACCCTTGCTTCTAGGCCAACCAAAATGTTTCTAGGGAAGACAGACATATAACTTAATTAGAGGTAATTCTATATTTATATTCTTAATAACAAGAGATAGTAGTCTTATTTGAGTTACACTTAATGCTGTACACCTAAAAATCATGGAAATAAAAGATTGATGTATCATTAATTAGGTCTTTAAGTCTTTTAGACAATTATGTTTGGATTTCACATTTAGAGGAGTGAGCAAGAGAGAATGAACTTATCTTTAGGCAGCCTATATAGCATATTATTTTAGAGCATTTAATTTGAGGTCAGAGATAGGAATTGAGTAGATTTGTCATTGGTTCTTCAACTTTGGAAAGGTGAAATTAACTTCTTAGTACTGTATTTTGATTTCTTCATCTCTAAAATATGGATAATAGTTATAATGTTTTACTTTTTTTCTTTTCCTTTTTTCAAGGCTAATCAACTGAAGCAGAAGGAGTGAAAAAAGAACAAAGAAATCTGTGACTGGTTGTGATCAATTAGTAAACTTACTTTTTTAGATTAAAATGAAATAATACATGCAAAGCCCTTGCACAGTGCCTTGCACATAACACATTTCGGGATTAAGTTGTGCTAGTTATTCCGTTATTGATTGTCTTGCCCTTTGTCCTCTGGAAGGTTGGATCTTGCCATTTGGGTATGGCCAATGGGAAGGCTGAGCAAGACATCAGAGGGTGGGAGGAAAGGAGGTATATTTATTTTCCTTACTCCTTCTCTGCTAGGCTTCAATTTTGTCACTAGCTGCATTCCTTTTTATGACCACAACTCCAGTCTAATGGCCACCCTCCCATAGCTAGAGTTCATAACAGACTAACACTGCCACCTCCTCAGGCCTAGGAATGGTCATGGTTTTTCTTCTCACTGTTGCTTCAGGTTCTTTTTTCCCACTGTTGCTTGCGCTAGATGTTCCACCCTCTTTTCTTGTTCCTTTAAGGCCTCTCTAAACTGTCACTTTATGAAACTGTCTTCAGTTAAATTCTTTATATGTGGCATTAGTTTATGCTGAGACTTTGATGTACATAAAACAACAATACTTTGTTTGGACATCAGGAAGGACATCTTTTTGATGAATCATTTTAGTAAATGTTGTAAGGAGCTAATATGAGACATTCTAAATCAAATGGGAAGTTTATTGAGATGCTGGTGGTTTGCTGTTCTGATGATGTAAATCCAGCTTTGAAGGCTGTAGAGTTTGTTTAGATGGCAGATGGTTGTAGGAAGGAAAGGTGGAGTTCTTTTCTTGATGCATAAAACAAGATCATATCTTCAGTGGCAAAGTGAACATGAGGATTATGGAGAAAGTAAATAAAGGTGATTGGCTATAATGGACACTTTATGCTTAAGGGTTGTGGTAGGCAGAATAATGGTCTCCCAAAGATATCCATGACCTAATGCCTGGAACTTGTGAATATGTTATCTTAGATGGTAAAAGGGACTTGGAAGATGTAATTAAATTAAAGATCTTGAGATGATGAGATTATTCTGTTAGGTGCATTGTAATTACAAAGGATCCTTAGGAAGGTAGTAGGGTCAGAGTCAGAGAAGGAGATATGATGATAAAGCAGAATCACAGGGGAAGAGCTGAAGATTCTACCCTGCTGGGTTGAAGACGGAGAAAGGGGCCACAGGCCAAGAATGCAGGTGGTGGCCAGAGGCTGATGAAAACAGAGAAACTGACTTTCCCCTAGAACCTCCAGAAGAAATGCAGCCCTAGTGACATCTTGATTCTAGCCCAGTGAGATTTCTGACCTACAGAATTGTACAATAGTAAATTTATGTTGTTTTAAGGTGGTGATCTGTGGCAAGTTGTTACAACAGCAATAAGAAACTGACATAGGAGATAGAGAAAGCGTGTTGGATTAGGGCAGTTGAGAATTTTGGATATTATCTTAAAGCCAACAAAGAACCACCAAAGATTTTTTACTAAAAACAGATATAATGAAAATGATGTATTAGTAGGGTAGACTGGAAGTTGGGTTCAGACTGAAGACAGAAAGATAAGCTCTACAGTGGTGTGCATGGATAAGTACGGTGATTAGTACCCAGGTAACAAATGGACTCTGTTAATTGATAAGAAGTTTCCAAATCTGAAAGAGATTGCTAAAGAAGAGCCTACAGAATATAATGACTGATGGGGAATCAGCAAAGGAAAGCAGTCCAATTTCAGATGCCTCATGTGTTGTGAAATGGGCATAAAACACACAAGGGTTCTAAATATTTTAAGTCTCTTCCTGGATTCACCAATGTATATTTCACCAACATATATATGAAATTGTAACTTGCTAAACTTCTCTGTTACATCAAGTTTCACTCTTGTCTTTTTAGAGGATATGCAAACCTCATTTCATCATTTCTACTCTAGAGACTGCTTATTTGGTAGAATGAAATAGGTACAACTCAAATAGTAAACTACTGTATTCAGATTTTGCACAAAAACAACAAAATACAATCTAAAAACAATTCAGTTGGAGAAGACTCGTAGGTTAAGTATGTGTAAAGAGTAGTGGCAGTAGCTGGTAAGTTAAACTACTCACTGGCTATAATGCTGTTCAGCAGTTACCACTGTTTGGATTATTGGACATTTCCTGAGTAGTGGGAAATGTTTGGATGAAAAGCCAGTAGCTCATTATTAACTCTCTTTACATCACCTCCCTTCTGAAAAAAGCTTTGCTTGCTGATAATCAACTTCTAAATGATCTTCATAAAAGTTAACAATGCTTGGACATCTAAGGCAGGTCTAAACTGGCTGGCTCTACCTTGTTTTTAATGGTAAAAATGCTAAATTAACTAGTACTAATAACCATGCCTGCAGTAAAAACACGGAACAATTGAATATCAATGATATGTTAAAGCCAGCTGTTAATTATCCCATTAAAAAGATGATTTTCTTTCACACAGAGATTCTATCGATACACTTTCCCCCCACCTCCTTCCATTTTTCACCATTTCAACTTCCCACCATCCCAATCAGTAACTGGTAAAAAAGATCTGACCATGAGTTAATTATTGGGAAAATCTTAGAAAATACTATATTTCAACCTTTTCCTAAATTGGATACAACTTTGCATTTCCACTATGTTTTTAAGTCCCCTCCTTAAAAATACACATTTATGTACAAATAACAATAGTATATTTTGCATCTTAAAAGTAGACTGCACTGTGATATTGACAGAGAAAATGTTCACCATTCCTTTCTACGTTTCAAAATATCCCTCCTCTTGGATGCTGACATAGAAACATCATTTTGGAACAAGTGGCAGTTTCGCCTTGCATCCCTGTTTTTTCTTGTTCTGCATGGGAAAAAAGTCTGAATAGTAGACAGCAAGAAAATTCAATAATGTCCACTCTGGAACAACCCGAGGGTAGGAATTTTGCGTATGTATCAGGCGCCCTATAAGCATCACCCTCTCATCCCATGCCATAAAAAAGGGTGGAGGGGAGGAAATATTCAGCGAAGTCCTAAAATACAATGTGTATTGTAAAAACAACTTTAATTTTAAAAGTCAATTCTACTTTGTAAGTTTTCAGTGCTGCTTCACTCCTACTCCTAGGGTGAAGGACTTTGGAGAGACACCAAGACTAATTCACATCAAAACCAGAACGCGAAACTCCTGCCTGCTCCGTAGCCTGATCTGAGTACCTGGAGTGCCCGAAAGTGGAAGGGCACTCTCTCCTATCTGGCCCATGGCTCTGAGGACCTCCCTCCCCGCTCCAAGCCCCAAGCCTGCGAATCGGAGATGCTCAGAGAAAAGCGAGTTGCTCACCAGTGAGGAGCCAGCAGCAGGCGACAGCGACCCCTGGGCGGGCGCGGGGCCGAGGGGCCATGGCCGGAGCGGCCTCAGCGCCAGGGGGCCGCGCTGGTTCGCAGGACAGGACCCGGCAGGACCGGGCGCGGGAGCTGCGCGCTCTGGCTGGGCCACTCAGCCCGCTGCCGCGGTTCCCAGTCCTCTGCCCCAGTGGCAGCGGCGTCCAGGAGCGGGAGAGGAGTGATTTCCTGTGTTTTCGTCGAATGCCTCTAAGTGCGCTCCACGCTTTTCACATCCCAGACGGATTGCCACATCGCCCGCCCCTGCGCGCTCTTGGTCTCTGCAATCTCACTGGCAGCTTCCCAGGCTCTGTCCGAGACATGGACAAATAAAGCCAGCTTCGCGGGTCCGTGTTTAGGCTAAAGTCCACGGGCTGTAGAAGCAAACCTTAAAGGGACATCTGCCTTTCATTGAGAGGGTGATCTCGTTCCCCGGGCCAAATCCCCTAAGGTGGTAGGAAGGCGGGTAAGGGCTGGACTTCGGGAGGGTGTCGCCAGCCAAGTGGCCCCGCCTTCACACCCCTGACTTCTCCCGGTCCGGGTAGCGAAGGAGCTTTGGCAGTACCTGGGCGCCCTTAACGGGAGGCAGCTTTCCGAGGTCCATTACGCAGAGGGATTAGGCCGTCTGTGAAAATGAGAGGATCTGGAATCCCCCCTTCCATCTCCTGCGGACACTTGAACTTCACCGTGAAGTCGTTTTGCACGAAAGGGGGCGTCCCTACCACCCCGACAGGCTCCACTGAGGGCTTTGCTTTCGCTTATTGGGAGCGGGGGTGGGGGGAGGCTTTGCTTAGTTTATGGTAATTCGTGGTTAAACGGTGGTTGCAGATAAGCTTTTCTTTGAGATAACTATGATAAAGGGAGAAAAGGAGAAGCAAGACCGAGGAAAAACAAAGAGGGAGAGAGAGAAGAGAGGAAGAAAAGCAGCCTCTTTGGAAATGGAATGTGTGTGGGCTATTTTGTTTAAGTGAATTAGGATGTTTGTACGCTGGTAATTGAATCTAATAAAGAACTCGGGGCACTGCTTTATTTTTTTCTTGCTTGAAACTTTTACGAGTAAAAATTCGTTAAGAGTCCAGACCTGCTTAGGAAGTTGCAATGCTTCCCTTTCCTGGTGAGTTGAACAACCTGGCTGAGTCAAAAGCCATATTCGTGCTAACTTCAACCAATGCGCTTGCTATTTTCAAAATAGCTGTGTCTTAGCGGTTTGGAGAGTTTCAAAGAACAGAAAAGATGAGTGGATTTGTGTTTAGAGGAATCTGAGGGGAACAGTTCAATTCAATTCACTTCAACTCAACAACTGATTGAGCATCTCTATCTAACAGAACTAGGGCTAGGCAGGACAAGAGTGCCACCCAAAGGAGGGTTCGTTGAGCAGAACACAACACAGGTAGCACCGAACAGGTAACACGAGGGACAGGAAGGAAGAAACCCACAGGGATCACTGGATACACTGCCAGTCAGAGGATCGCAGCAACTAAAAGCTGGAGAAGACAAAAGCTGAAGAAGTTTAAGTAGGGTCAAAAATGGGGTGGGCAGACCCAAGGAAGTTGAAGGCCATCAGATCTCAGTATGTTGACCCATTAGTCAAGAAATTCCTTTTCTATTATGTATCTGAACTGATTCACTATTTAGTGAATACATTAAAAATCCTGTTCTCCGATGTTTTTAGTTTTTATAATGTCATTTCTCAGTTCTTTCTTCAAATGTACACAAATGAGTCTCTAGAAAAATTGCATTGTGTTGGGTCACAGTCCAATCCTATTGGACTTTACTTGAGTTCCTTTGTTTGTGTTCGACGCTCTCATATCCTGCCAAGGAATTCATTTCCTGTGTACATCTCATTTCCCTGTCCGTAGTATCAGTTATGTCTTATGCCTCTCAGTATGACTGTCTTTGCTTTGAACAGTAACCAATAGATATTGATTAATGCATAGACATTTAAAAATCATAAGTACTTTCCCAGTGATACTTCTCTAAATTGCTTAGTTTTCAAAAATATGTAATAGTGTGTCTATATATACACAAATATATGTGTGTGTATGTATGTGTATATACAAATGTACAGCATATACATACATATGCAAATACATAATGACATTTTAGCAACTTGCAATATATTTCATTAGAAAAAACAAAAAGAAATTGTAAACTATCTTACTGAAATAAAGTAGGGTTAACATATAATATGTTCAAGGTTACAATCACTGGGAAATTTACCTTTCTTCTGGGGGCTAATACATAATTTCAATTTTGATATTTTTATTTCCTTTAGGACTTACAAATTATTGGTGATAACCGTCACTAACAGTGATATTGTTACAATTAATTTTCACATGTTACAAATTTTATGTGTACATCTTTAGATATTTATGAATCTTTTTTATGTCTAGTCAATACAAATGTGGAGACTGAGAGATAACTATTGTTGGAGAATTAGTATTAGAATCAATGCTTATTTTCTGAACTTCAATAAACCCAAATACAAATAAATGTCAAGCCAGTTATTTTCTTAACCAATTTTATTCTGACAGAAAGACATGTCATTGAGTAAAGATTTAGAGAAGACAAAAACTTGCCCAGAGGCACAAACTAGTTATTGATATGAGATACTTGATGACAAATGTTTCAGCTCTAGACTTTATACTACATACTTTTCTATTTTAAGTGAGACTTGATCAGATCTCTTTTAGGATTTGGAAGCATGAGTAGGAGCATGAACCTTATTGTGAACTGCATACACTTCTTATGAGAATCTAATGCCTGATGATCTGTCACTGTCTCCCATCATCCCCAGATGAAACTGTCTAGTTGCAGGAAAACAGGCTCAGGGCTCCCACTGATTCTACATTATGGTGAGTTGTATAATTACTTCATTATATATTATAATGTAACTATAATAGGAATAAAGTGCAAAATGAATGTAATGTGTTTGAATCATCTTGAAACCGTTCCCCTCATCCCTGGTCTGTGGAAAAAAATGCCTTCCATGAAACCGGTATCTGTGCCAAAAAGGTTGGGGATGGCTGTGCTGAAAGATTAGAGACTGAACAGATTAAGAATTTGGAAAGTGGGTGTCTATTAAATGAGGCAAGAGTAATTGATATTATTAACTAATAATCTCAAAAAGAAAAACATATACTTAAAACCAAAGTATTCTTCTTGGAGTTAATCTAATATACTGAGTAAAGTAATTAGAGTAAGTAAGGTTCTGGAGTTACACTGCTTGGCCTCAAGTCCTGGAACCACAATATAGTAGCTGTGTGATTTGGGAAATGTCATCAAGTTTATCTAGGCCTCAGTTTTCTCAAATGTAAAGTGGGAATGAAAATACTGTACTACCTCTGGTCTGAGGATTGCTGTGGGGATTAAATGAACTGAGCCTCTAAGCATTTAGCACAATGCCTGGATTAAAGTAAGTGCTCAGTTAGTATGAATCATTCTTCTCCGTAAATAGAAGAATTGGTATTAGACAGACCATGGAAACGGCAGGCTCTGTGTGTGGTAGACCCTGTAGGAAGTGGTGAAATTTGACGGCCATCACAAGAGGACACTTTAATGTCTGCCTAAAAATATCTCCATCAATACCTATTATTGTTTCTGGAATCCTCACTTTAAAAATATTTACCTTGGATTAGGGAATTATCTTGAAGATATTTCTATAAAATGGGCATGCATGAAGACATCAGAACCCATTGTAACATTCACATGAATTTGCTTTTCAAATTGGCTGGCCATCAGAGGTTTTTTGTTTTGTTTTTTTTTTTTTTTTTTTACAAGAGAAGAACATTCCACTAAGGTTGGGAATAGAAGAGGGTCTAGAACTCCGTGTCTAATGTATGCCAGTGTTCTCTAGCAGTAAGATTATGGGTTCTCAAAGCCACAGGATGAGTAAGGTACTCCCACCTGGGTAGTGGGAGTGGTGCTGATTTTACTCAAAAGTAAATAATTTAAAAATTGTTTGCTAAAATAACAGATTTTTATAAGAAAGATTTTTAAATCATGTTTTCTTTTTAAAAGTCAAATATGACATTTTAAATGCATTTTAAGGTAGCATCAAAGTGTGGTTTTACTCCAACCCCATCCCCTCCGCTCTCAGGTGTTAGGGGTAGGTGGAAGTATATAGAACTGTTTCCGTTTTTACAAAGATTTTATGAAGATTTGAATTTTTAAGTTTTACTGTGTAAGCACTTAGGGGAATATACAGTGGGGCTAACTCACAAAGCTAACTCATATGGACAACTTAGTCTAGTTAAATAATTTTTAATTTTCTGGCATATATTGGGCTCCAGGGCTGTGTTCTGCAGAGGCAAAAATGGATAGAACAGTCGTTATTCCACTGCAAACCTGCTATTCATTAATTTCTTTCACTTGTAACTAGAAGCAGAAAATAAGTAGTTTTGTCCTCAATTCTAACATTGGCATATTTCATTTTAAGCCTATTAAATTAAGCAGTCTAGTGAAATTATCCTAATAGTTGTTGTTGATATACCTTGAGAACTTATAACTGCTTCCTCTCTGACCAAAATAAAGTCACAGTGTTATGGAACTTAAACTTCACCATGAGCCAACCATTTGTTTTTTGTTATTACGTAATATTCCTGTGTGTTTTTTCACTTAAAATATAAAATAGGTGTTTCTCCCTCCCTACTTCCTGAACAAGCCTGTGCCAGAAACCTTGTCCAAAGACATTTGGGCAACTGGTATTTAAGAAAAAAAACAAAAACTTGACTTCAGAATCCTGGTGAGGAACAGTTCTCAGCACTATAGGAAACTTCTTTGGACTTACTGGCAGACTTCAACATGAGTGACACACCAGGGCTGCAGCAGGGAAGGGTGGACCAGGGTGGTGCCCTGGCAGGAATGTTCAATTCGTGGCATTCTATGACTCAGAATAACAACCACTGATGAGCAGTAACATTTTAGCTATGTTGCTGGGCCCCTTAATTTGAAATACAACTTAATTATATTTTAAGCTGTTATGCAATTCTAGGATCGTTTGGACAAGTTGATTTAATTATTTTCTTTTAACTAATTTGTAAAAAGTTAAATAAAGTAAGTGGGCTCTAAAATCCCAGAATTACAACAAAAAATGATTAATTCGTATTTCAAAGCAAGAAGACTGGCGTTGCTTGTGGTAGGACTGGGTCAGTAAACACGTGTGGGGAAATACCCTTTGTCTTTAATACAAAATAAATGCATCAAGGGAAGGAAGTCTGTTATTTGGCTCTGAAATAATACTACTTACATAGCTTATTTTACAACAATGTGCCCATTTTTTATCTTCTCTCCTAGATCATGATCTATACAATGATAGTCAATTGCTAATGTTTGTTCTCTGCAGCATCTGTGCTCATGTAATGCACTGAAACACTTACGAAGTTACTTCTATTCAGGAGGAAGTCTCTTAGATACTGGGGAATCAGAGATGTTGAAGTACTAGGCCCTAACCTCAAGAATATTCACAGACTACGTAGAGACAACATACACCGAATGATCTAATTGCATCTGATCCCTGTAATAGAGAATAAATAAAGTCAAGGCTTTCAAATAGATGATAGCACTGAAATTTAACCTTGCAGGGAGTGGGTAGGGGATTTTATAGGTGGAGAAAATGGTAATGGACATTCTATGCAGAGGTAACATGAAAATAGATGAAGAGACTGGAATAGAAGTTAAGAAAAGTGAGTGAAGCTGAGACCAGATTAGAAAGGATC